TGATTTTATCAAAGAGAATAATAATATCAGAATAGTCCAACATCAGTTAATTCTACTGTAAACGTAAAATAATTAACTCTAGTTAGATTGTATACTGCAATATGTCACTGAGCAAATGGATAATAATGACCCTGAAATCTTTATTTGGTAAGCAGAAACTGCCAATGGTAACACTATATGTTAAAATATAATATTGATGATATATTCCGTGGAAAAAGTCCTTCTCCCTTTCCCTACATCCTTCTCCTCCAACATCGCACCTTACTTTTCTTTGGGAGGAGAAGGAGGCCTTGTGCCCAGATGTATATGTTATTTCTTTGCTCTCGAATAATATGATATCGAAAATATTTTTGTTTTCTCTCTTCTAACAGTGAGTATATATATATATATATATATGTATATGAGGAGCATGTGTAATAAACGAAAAGAATAACGTCCGTTTATTCTTGTATTAGTTATAATTGTTAGAATATAAGTAAGTTCTATTTTAATCCTTTCATCGAGTTTTAAGAATGATTCGTTTCTTATTTTACGTCTTTTATTCTTCAACAGATACAAACATAATTCATCATTCTTCTACATTCCAAAAAAATGTCTTTTTCATTCTAACCTGTTTTTCCATCAATGCACAGATGAATGTTTGAAGAAAAGCCGTGAATGTCAGACCGTGTATTTGATTTTTTGAAACTGCCGGTTACTGCGGTATCGACTTGCCGCTATGTGAAACGGTTTGTCTTTTGCGGTTTCTTAAAGTTGGCGAAAATTGCGGTTTCGCTAAGCATGTCTGAGCTTTTCGCTAAAACCAGATGAAATTCTCATCAAGGAATAATGCAGTGAGCGCCTTCAACGTCTGACACCACAAAGTCACTTTGCACAGAGAGATGACTTCAGAAAATTTGTTCCAAATTTCTTAAAAATAGTTGAACACGACGCTCTCATTGTTTTTACATATTCTATTATACTTCAATATATAGTGGACGGAGAAGGTAATGACAATAGTAGACAATATATTCACACCAATATAAAAAAACACGGTTTTATGAAAAACTTTATTCACAAAAATACTAATGGTATGTATTGTGACTACAGTCATAAGTATACTGTTGGAAGGGGATTCTTTGTGAAACTGCAAGATAAGCTACACGGTTACAATCGGGATCACCTGGGCTTCTAAAACTGTTGTTCACAACGAAATTCCATACTGCGGTTTGTTTGAGTGATACCAAAATAGGATTCGAAAAGCGCGGTTTACAGTGGTTTTTTTTCAAAAACAATTCCGTGGTCACACGATTTACAGCTATACTACTAGTCTTCACCCAATAGAATGCTTTAGACATCGTAAATTATGGAAAGAAAGAGAACAAAATAAGTCGAACTTCGTTTTGTACTACGTAAAGAATCACATGTCAGATACATGCAAAAACAAGTACTATCGTCAGGATGAAAACGAACGAAATAATATAACTGCAAATTCATATTTCCACATTACGTACAAACCCGTTCTGAATATAGATATAAGTTGAATTACGCAGTTTTACTCTAGCAAAAAAAGAGAGAAACAATCGTTGCTCTTCGTATTGTCACAGCGCGCTTATAATCAATATTGCAGTTGTCAACGAGCATACAGTAGTTAATGAAACCGGTAACCACGGCAATTTCCAATAACCCGGTTGTCCATAAGCATACCGCGTTTTCGGATATTGTGGTATATGAAACCGATAATCCCTATGATATCTAATACCACGGTTTTATAAACCGTGGCATGCTTATTGACAATCGTATTATTGAATATTGTGGTAGTATGAAACCGGTTATCACCTTGATATCTAATACCGCGGTTTACAGCGGTTTTTTCCAAAAAAACTTCTCTGCGGGTAGGCATAATAGAGAGATAAGAATCATTCTTCAAGAAATATATTAGTAATATTATAAAGTTCTTCTTCAGTTAGAGGATTTAACGAAGGAAGTTTGCCACGAATACACTTATAATCATAAAAAGATCTTTAAATCTTTATGGGATCAAGAAGCTAGAGAAAAGTTTATAGTCAGTCTCTTGCAAAGATGACAGTGTAATTTCTGGAGAAGACTTGAAGTTTGCCACGGGGTCTCCTTCATATAGAATATTGTTGTTTTTTTTTCGATCAATTCTCTTAACATTGCTGGGCTACTCACTGATTAAAGTACGGATATATTTAGTATTAAGAATCGAGTAGAACATTGATCAGTAAGTACAATGAGGATTGTAGATTTTTTTAAGTATTAAAAACTTACTCGATGGTTGCCCACTCCTCATTCACTCTAGCTCATGCCAGGATTGATTCGAGTATTTAAATATTTATTCCTCCAAAGCAAGGTCGTCAGTGTTATGTGCAATATGAAACATGAGTCTCTCAGTATACAACGAATAGACATTAAATCTTTTAATCGCAGAATATTTATTGCTTTATTCTTATGTAATCATATATTGTAAATGACATTTGCAAATTTAACTACTTAATATTTGAGACAGAAGAAATTCATCTTAACACTGATCAAAAAAAAAAGTATATCCAAAGTAGAAAGGCAGATTGATATAATGCAAGTAGATTTCAAGTTTCGAGAGAATCAGTAGATACTGTATTAGAGTCTGAGAAAGCAATGTTGTACTAGAAATTAACATACAATGCGAAAGTAATGGCACAAATGTCGATGATTGTTTCTCTCCTATGAAAAGGTGTTGAACGAGAAATGTTTCTTTTTACCAAAAGACAGAACATTTTCTCCGCTTTCGAAATATATATAACTTATTTTTATTATACATTTGTAAATGAAACGATACGACAGAAAAGAGAAACGCCCTTAAAAAGAATTTATATTTTTCCATAAGATGACCGTGTAAAATATCAATCCTTATATTCCTTCAATAAACAGATACTGAAAAGAATATTTTCTACTCTTTCGAACGGTATATGATTTGTATTTGTCACGCATTGATAAATGAAGTAAGATGAGAAAAAGATGGTAATTACTTATAATAAACTGTCGTTTTACGAAATATTTTTACCGATTTCATAAAAGTGAAAGTAAGCATCATTTTACATAATCTTTTTAATTGGTCTACAAAAATTGAATCAATTACTTTCTAACAAGATGTGTTTGACTATTTCATGTAAAAATTACGAATTTATGATGCAAGTATTTCTCTTTTTTTTTCTTCTACCATTTCTTTTATGAATGTGTGATAAATATAAATCAAATACTGTTCGATAGAAGAACAGTAGCAATGCTTTTTAAGGGTGCTTCTCTGTTCTATTGCTTTGTTTCGTCTGTGAACATATTATAAAAATATGTTATATAAGATTCTAAAGAGAAGTAAAAGTTCCTTCTTTCAGCACCATTTTATCGAAGAGAAATAAGGATCGATATTGGTGTCATTATTTTTGCATCGTACGTTACTATAGATCATCTTGGATAAATTGTTTTTCAAGAGTCAATAAGAAATATTTTAAGGATATCCCAAAGTTTCCCACTCAAAACTGTTTTTTTTGTGTAACTTCACTATTGGTTGCATTTTATCAATTGATTTTCTTGCGTATGATAAGTAACACCATCAAGGTTTTATGTCTAAAGACAATCATTAGACGTTCTCTTTAAAGTAATTATCTTTGGCCGAGTTCCTAAAATTCAATCTTTTTTTTTGATTCTATGATAATATGTCGCAGCGTTTCATTTGTAACTGTTTTACTTTTCACTTCATACTATTCAATTTCTTTTAACGAGGAAACATCATAACTAAGTTCTAAAACATTGACTGTTTGAGATCGTAAGAATTCAAAGACCAAAATTGATCTAGAAAGTGAAATAATTAAAAAACCAAGACTGACCAATATTATAATGGCATCCAAAAAAAAAGACGTTGAATTTTTGTATCTTATCTCATGGTGATTACATTGAAGAGCATTTTAATAGTTTGTCTATAGAAATAAAAAGATAATCTTGTCACCTATCATGCGAGAAAAATTCGTTGATAAAAGCCAACCAATAACGAAGTTATGCGAAAAAACATTTCGGTGTACGAACTTGTGGGAAACATCGCACATTTCTCACTTCCTCGCTTAAACAAAACATTTATTAACTTTTACTAGGCTTTTTCCATAAAAAAACTGAAAATCGTTGAAAATGTTTAATCAATCGCCAAAAACGCGTTAAAATGATATATTAAAAAGACTTATTCAGAAAAATAACCCTTGTGATGAATCAAAGCTAAACGAAGAATGAGTAACTATGTTCTGTTTTGAGACATATTTTCGAAGAAAATAGTGAGTGTAAGTTTTAAGTCAAAGTTTTCACCTTCCACTCTTCCCATTTAAGAAAATGAAAAATACTGAGGAAATGACACCAATGAAAACAAAACGTGAGTGCGGCCGTCAGGAGAAAACAATGAAAAAGTTCTTGATTTTACACTTTCTCTAGCTCGTACTAGTTTAATGAAGCTGAAGCACATATGTGAGTTCCACATTTCAGTCTCTAAGGGACTGCGTTGACAAGTTTTTTTTAAACATTCATTTGTTCATATTTAAAACGGAATACAAACTACGCAAGTTAGTTGTATGCATGATTTAAGAAAAAAAGTCACGCTATTTTACATAATAATAAAAAATAATGTTAAATGAATGATGTTGCTGATTTCATATCCTTCGTTTTGAATTCTTAATCGACTGACAATATTCTCATGGTTATATTCTAACCTTCAGGAACTATTTGTAAGAATGATGCGACAACGATGTATAGTTTTTTTTTGTTTTGTTAATACTTCTAATTTCTTTTGTCAACAAATTAAAAAGAATATGAACAAGGATACTTTTCATGTTATAAAATAAGTTTTTGATATTTGTATTTATGTATAACTTCATTCATACTTGGTTAAGCCTTTGATATGTTTATGATAGATATATAAATTAATGACCATTGGCGTTTTTTTTTATTCTAAGAATTTACTTCTACTTTGTTGATTTGGAATAATGGCAAGCTCTGATGCAGCTGCAGGTATGTTTTCACAAGCTGATACAAATCGAGATGGACGGTATGAATTAAGAATTTTAATCAGATCATAAATCCATATATACATATTTAGTATTGATAAAAATGAATTTCGTAATTGGATTTCAAATACTGAAGGATTGACTCCTTCATCATATGAATCATCAACTGGTAGATTTAATCAAAATGATAATACTACTGGCCGAATTGATCGATATAAGTCTAAAGTTAGTTCTCAAAATGAATGGGAATCTACGGCTGATAAATATACTTCATATGGAAGTACAAGAGTAGCTAGTGAATCGAGTAATGAAGCGGTGATTCATACAAGAAGCTTAGAAGAAACGAATCGGTACCTGGAAAGATCAGCTAATAATATTTATATCGATCCTAATCCAAAAATTATTCGACGAACAACAACTGAAGCTCCAGTAACATATGAACAACGAGTTCTTATTCGATATCTTCAACCACCAACCGTTCCACCACCAGGAGTAATAAAACAAATTGTCTAAAAACTCAATCTTACTAAGCTTTGTATGATTTTAGCCACTGATTATTAAAGAAGTTCGTCCACCACAACCACCACCTCCTCCACCACTTGTAATACGTCAACATGCATCATCTCTTGCTCAACCACCTCCACTTATCTTACGTGAACGACCACCAGCACCACCGGTATCTACTCAGAGTGAAACAAGTTAAAAAAAAAGAAATTTAAATGACATACATTAGACTTATCTATGTATTTTCTTTTATAGTTACTCGTATGTTACCTCCTATACCTGCTCCACCACGATCAGTTGTCATCGAACGTTTTCCAGCTCTTCCAGAAAAACCACGTACAAGAATTATCTTTATTGTTCTTTTTGTTTTTGTTTTATTTCAGATTGTTGTTTATTTGTCATTTAGGTGATATTATAATTGAACGATGGATTCCCTACGGATCTCAAACTGAACGCCGTAAGGTTGTTGAACGTGCTCCACCTGCTGTACAATATCCACAACCAACTCATACTGTTGTGGTTTATGAAGCGGTTCAACAACGTATAAACCGAAAATTTGAAAAACTTGGTGTTACCAAAGAGAATCCTGATGATTATGTAGCTCGTTATGGTGCATCACTTTTAGATTCAGCAACACTAGTTCAACAAGCTCGTAATGCTGGTGTTATTGAAGATATAGTAAATTTTTTTGCAAAAAAAAAAACACCTTCAGAAAAAACTATAATTTCTTTTATTTTAGTCGCCTCCAGTATCATCAACTTTAACATATACAAATACACGCGAATATACTACTGATTTTGATCAGTCAAATGAAATAACCAATCAAGGTTATTCATTATCAGGTGGAAGTTGCAGTGAAAAAATTCAACTCGATGCTGGTCAAGAAACTGTTTATCGTGGTAGTAGAAATTATTCATCATCACCATCAAATATTATTGGTGATAGTGCTGGAGGTGGCAGTGCTAGTATAATCCGAGGTGAATATCGTGTTGACGATACTGATCTTGTCACTACTGATATTAGCCGTGCTGGAAAACTGAATTAAACAGAAATTCAACAATACATTTAAAAAAATTATTGAACTAAAATTCTTTCTTTTTCTATTTATAGGCTTTGCTTTTTTTGATATCTTTTATAAAGGGGACGCATTAACTAATAATAAAAGACACTAAAATAAAAATTAAACAAAGACTGATCAAGCACTACCGATACCACTATTAGCTGAATCATGTTTTCTTGTAAATCATGTTGGTATTATTTTTGAACAGTCTGTTTGCATTGTATCTGATAGTAGTCACAAAAAGTGCTGCTACCAGGTGAAAACTATTTAAACATCAACCATTTGAGTTCATATTTTCACCATGCATAAAAATCATTGATTCCTGATCGCAAGCACCAAATATGATCTCGACCAGCTGACGTAAACTGGAGTTATTAGTTCAACAGTATTGCCACACTGTAAAGACTATATCTGAACCATTTTTCGACGTTCAATTTTGCGTGATTACTCATTCGAAGTTCAACGTCGGAGTCATCTGCGATCAAAATTTGGTAAAAATTACTATGAATTATTGGACATATGATCTTTGTAATGAAAATGTTTGTCAAGTGATTAGTTCTAGTCTTCAGTCTGTGAATTAATAGCTCGGCTTAACTTTGGCTAGTTTCCACGAAAGGTTCAGGAATGACTTTTCATGAGCCTAGAAGTTACTAATAAATTTTTCAAAATCACAGCTCAAATTGGAATCACGATGGAGTCATCAAAATAGTTCATAACGGCACATATTGGCGATCTATGAGATCTTGAAATTATAGCGGGTGGGCATTCGACTCAGTAAAGTAGACATAAGCAGACGTATTGTAACAGAGTATAATGACAAGGAAAAACTTTCTGATATCGTATCTTTGCGCTCTTTTCTCTATTCATTCAAGAGATTGTAAGCAATACTTGTGTGTGTAAGAAGCGTTCGTATACAAATGAGTTGAACTTCGGCGTTTAAAGAAGTACCTTTTTCATGTTCGAACAGTTCAGCTAGGGTATTCATGCGATTAACACTATGACGCGAAAATTTTATAAGCTGAAAGAATAGGTTCTGTCTGTAAAGTCATTCTTATATAGGAAAGTCTTCTTTCGATAAAAATTGTTGGCGAAGATCTTGAATAAATAGGACAAAATAGAGCCGAAATGCGATGCCAGAAAATTTTTGCTTGTCATTTTAATTTATTACAAGTTATTTACGTTTTTTCTAGTGCTGATTGAACTATGTTAAATCTAGTGATGTGAATATATCGCTGAGTCTTATTTTCTAAATAAAATATTATTTATTATAAATATCAATTCCTGAAGTGATCATTTTCACCAATATTTGGAATATGTTAATTAATATCGTCGAAATTTTTTCTAATTAAATATTTTTGAGTTGTACAAAGACCGTCAATATCATATGAAAGAAACTATTTCGAAAGAATTTGTTTTTAATTTTGCTCATCTATTTGAATGTTTGTTATGAGATATTCTTTGTATCACTAATTTAACTTAAAAATGTTGGTGAATTAATACCTTTTTTCGACTTATGATCTAATCCTTTAGTAGAATTTTTTAATGAAAATAATAGATTAACAAAATATGATTAAAAAAATGTGGAGTATAGATATGTGTGAAGACAAGATTTACGTGCACAATTTTACTACAGGAAAGTGATTACAATAACTAATATTTTAACTTTTATTTGCCATCATACCAGTCTAGATGAGTATAGCCAAGAAATTATGATTAGTGATAGTGATGGGTTTGCTTGACATGTTTCTGAGTAACAGATACGTTCGATTGTTTATTCATGCTCTTTATCCAGTCATAAATGTGCTGCACTGATGATTTTCCCCACATTCATAGCCGCACAATGACTTTCACTCTAGCTCATATGAAAAGTCTCTTTCTAAACGCAAAATCCGTTGAACGACTTTCTTCACAAAATTCTTTTCATCATAGGTGGGCCGAAATGTGGCATTTGATAAATGTTTAGCTTGCTTCAATATCCTCATTACATCTTCGACGTATGTGATTTCAGTATCAAGACGTTTGATATGACAAGGTAATTTTAAACAGATATAATTGAGAATTATCAACTTCATTCTTTCCGAGCCATTATAATTGATATTTATTGAACGAAGATGCCATGCTCATTTGAATAGAATATCCATTTCGACATCTAAACTCGTATCGAACTCGATAGATTAAGAATTTTTGAAAGATGTTTACTTGAGCTGATATGCCATTCTTGATCAATCATCAGTGTAAGTTCTCTCATATTTCGAAATTGATAATCGTCCGTTTCTGGATTTGTCTAAAAATGAAAGTATGCAATCTTTAAAGAAAGTGAAATATGAAGTATAAAATTGTTGTAAGTTAAAAAAATCATAAAAACAATAAAGATCGTTTTTTTCTATGAAATTAAGATGTCCTTGGGAACAATGTCAAATTTAAATGAAAAAAGTTGCTAAAAAAAGTAGTCTACATTGACTGTGAAAATTCAAAAGCTTTCTTCTAAACTATATTTTCGAGTGGCCTTTATCGAATATTTTACAAGCAAAAAACTCTTCGTAGTCATTTAAAGAACGGGAAAAGAAAGATTACTTTTTCGTATTAAAATCTATTGCGAGAGTTCATAGTATTTATTTGAGATATTTTTCTCAAAACCAATTTTTTCTTCAAAATTACTTGAGAATTCTTACTTGACTACAATCTAATTAAAGTTAATGATGATTATTAGATTAGATTTTTATATGGCTGTATACTAATAAACAAAACTATCGATTTTAAGATTCTTTGGTACATTTGCTATTACAGTACAATTGAACTGTAGCAACTTTCTAAGGGTTCATGGTCTTATTGTATTTTGCTGGAGATATTAAATTGTTAGCAACTGCTTCTATGCAAAACTGAATATTCCCATACAATTATATTTTCCAGCTGTATTTTTTATCTGAAACTTTGTTCACATAAATATCATAATCACACAAATCAATGAACTAAATTAGAAAATGTTCTGTTTCAGAGAAGCTGTTGCAACGAAAAATTTCTGAAATTCAATATAATTGAGATCTTTATGTGAGCAAAATTTGAGAGAAAAAGAATTGAAAAAATTCCGTATCTCAGCTACAAGATCATGAACTCTTTAAAGATTACTAAAGTCTATTGGTCTTATAATGCTGGAACATGTTTTGAGTTAAAATTGTTTAGTCACTTGCTGAATTATCCATGGATGGTGTTTTGTTTTGATATTAGATATGACAAATTTTCTGTATGAATATAAATTGTGTAAATTATTATGAATCAATTGTTCTCTACCATCAGAACAACAATTATTATTGAAATGTTCTATCCTCCAGTTATTTTTGGCATACCTTGTATATTACAGGAATATAGGCAATAAGACAAATCACTTTTTTTCATCGTTATCGGTTATACTATTCGACTTCTTTTATCTATTTTGAGAAACTTGTCAGTTTTATAAAAAGAATTTCCAGAGAAGCTTCAGTAACAATGAACAGTGCTTCTAACGCCAATTACAATCTTATAAAATCAATGAGCACCAAAAAAACTCGCTTTTTGACTCATGTAACAATCTCTTAGCTTTTTGCTAGAGGAATCTTTGGTTCGAGAGGAAATAACCAATTTGAAAAATGTAAAATAACGCTTACCTCTTGTCGAATGTCTGTAGTCATCATTTCGCTCAAATTTAAGGATAATCGATACGCATCGACGATGATCGTTGTATTATTAACATCGGTGTTCAACTTGAAATGAATGAGTGTGTATTTCGTTGGTCAGAAAAATGAAAGTTATCGCGCAAGATTGCTACCAAATACAGATAAAACGCCCAATCATATTCGTTATACTGTTAGTCACATTTAATAAGCTAATTATTTATTTCGAGTCAGAATGACGTTCAGAATGGCGTAATCAGTAATTCTACAATATTATCATTTGGATCTTGGATTTTCCATCTAGAACCGTCAGACTATAAAGGATCAGTTAAAGATGTCTGATAAATTAGCCGAAGATGTGTTAGCTGAGGTTAAAGTGAAAGCAGTGATTCAATATTGTTGATTATCACATTAAAATTTATGTTTCATGAGAGTGAAGTTAAATGACTGAACTGCTTAACAACAAGTTCATCGAACCAATTTCTATAAGCATCTTTCAGAATCAATGTTCGTAGTTGAGATGAGTGACCAAGAATAGAGTAAACTGTATCCTAAGTACACGTACTACAAATTATTATGGGCTCCAATCTACATGAAAGAGGCCATTGTATTTGATTGAGAATCCAACTCGTTGCTTTACATTCGAGTTTGCGAAGATCATTGTGCGATGGTGTGGGTGTTCATTTTCTTCTTAGCTATACCCACACCCACACCCACACCCTACAATATCTCAATATCAAACTATAGACTAGGTTTAAAAAGATGAAGGATCAAACATTCTTCTTCTTTTTCTACTATAGAAACTCGTAGATCAAATAACCCACAATAAAACTGACTCCCAGAAGGCAATAACGATCATAGATAGCTGTATAAATTTGAAAGTTGACAACTGTGTAGTAGAGTTGATAGTAATATTTTATCGATGAAGTAACCTTCTTCTCACCAAAGTATGATGCTTAGCATGTCAAGTCATAGAAAATTTTCTTGTATCATCTCTGTTGATTTATAAAACAAATATTCTGTTTTAGGTCGAACTCATGATTTGAAAAAAATCGTTAGTAAGAACGCATCATTCCCGATTCGATCGTTGAGTTGTGAAAAGATGAAGAAGAAATAATAACCGAAACGAAAGCCTGAATAAGTCACAGAAAAGTCACTGTCATGCTAATCCATATATAACCAATGAACAAATGAGTCAAGCTTTATTTGTTTGTAATATAATTTTACCTAATGGTACTTATGCTCGAAATCAAACATTTATTAAGAATGGAGATAGTAAACAAGGTTTAAATCAATGGAATATTACATCAGGAATAATTGAAGTCAAAGATTCTTATTTTATGGGTAAAAACAATTCAACTATGTTTCAGCGCATAAATACAACAGATGCAAGACTTTATAGTTCTCTTGAATCATTTAATTATTGGTTATCTTTTCTCTTTCGTGATAATTCAATTGAATCGAAAACGAGCCATTATTGGTGTAAATCACTTTAGTAAAAGTAAGTTGATTTCTGTTTTTAATATAATAAAATCTGCAATCTAGTTGAAAAATAATTATAAATATGCATTCATTTTTATCAATCCAATAACGAGAATTTAATAGATTCTATAGATGACAACGAACACAGCGATGTATTTTGCCATATTATACGCGAGTTGAGGTCAGACCGATCAGTGGATAGTACTCGAAAACCAGACAAAAAAAAGAATGAGATAACGTAAACTTTTTGCTCCCTTTGTTTTCTTGGTCAGTGATCATCTATTATATGAGCCAATCGATTTAAGTTTCACTCTACTATAGCGCGATATGAGAAATAAAAGAGTCATTGTCAACTGAATATGACAGAAATTTTTGGATTCGATTCGATTCGTATAAAAGTTCAGGTGTGGATGGCATGAGTGTGAGTGTATCAGATCCATGCCCATGCCCATGTCCATACCCACCCACATCCATTCATACCCATATCCACACAGAAAACACCCACCCACCCCGACATCCTCACTCAAAAGCAGTTGAGTTCTACAACAAAGCAGAGCAAATCATGGAAAAAGTTCGACTTCTAGATCATCCTTTATTGGCTACTAACTACAGCAATATCGGTCTCCTGTGTGAAAACAGAAGAGATCACATTAAAGCACTTGAACATTATGAAAAGGCTCTTGAAATACTAGAGATAGTTTTGAATCCGAATCATTTAGATTTGACCATTACCTACAGCAATATTGGCCATGTCTATTGCCATACTAGTGACTACTCAAAAGGGACTTGAGTATTTCAACAAAGCAAATCAAGTAACAAAGAACATTCTACCACCAAATCATCCATTATTAGACGCTGTCCTCAAAAGCTTAGCTGAAGTTTATTAAAAGATGGAGCAGTACTCGAAGGCAAATGAGTTTTTAGAAAAACCACTTAAAACAACACAAAAACAATGGTCTTTAGGTCCTCTTTCTCAGGTCAGTCTTTACAACAACATCGGTTTAAATTATAACAAGAACGATGACTACTTGAAAGCATTTGAATTCTACGAAAAATCGCTTGAAATCGAAGAAAATTTTCTTCCTTTGAATGACTTATCAGTCGCTCATTCCTATATCGGCATTGACTTAGTGTATAAAAAGATGGGTGACTATTGCAAAGCACTCGAGTTTTACGAGAAAGCGCATGAAATTTTCAAAAATGCCCCGCCAAAGAATGAACTAGATTTGGCTAATTACTGGAACAACATTGGTTCACTCTATGATTCCATAGGTGATTACTTAAAAGCATTAAAATTTCATGAAAAAGCATGTAAAACCAAACGAAAAAGTTCTATCACCAAATGATCTGGCATTGGCTATATCTTACAACAACATCGACCTATTCTATTATTATATGGGCGACTATTTGAAACCACTTGAGTCTTTAGAAAAGTAAAATATAATCAAAGAAAACTTTTTTTCCATTGGATCATTCTTCGTTAGTTATTTGTTACGGCCAAATCGCTACGGTGTATTTCTCAATAAATGAATGCTCGAAAGCGCATGAATTTCATGAAAAAGCTCACTCAATCAACGAAAAAAGTTTACCTTCCAGCCATCCCAATACAACCTCTTCTTTCAGTGATCTTTGTTTCATTTATCAGCGAATGGAAGACTATTCAAAAGTACCATGACATCAACAGAATCCCTCTACTATTCAAAAAAAAGTCCTTTCACTAGGCCATCCTAGCACTTAAATAATGAAAGATTATATTGCGCTTTTGAAAGATAAAATGATAAATTACTTGTTATTTCTTCATAGATTCGTTCAGAGCGCCCCTTTTTGCCAGGGTGCTTTACTGTCTTCCAAAAAAATACGAATGATGTGGGTGTGTGGATGTGAGTGCGGGGTAAACCAAACTATGGTCGAAAGCAGAGGCGCCACGAAATATGTGAGTAATGCGGTATGCGACGCCTCTACTTTCAACATTTAGCCTTTGAACATTTTCACTTTCGGTCATTTTCCAGATAACTGCGTGTGGGCGAGTGCTGGTATTCCTGTGCGTATGGTTTTGAGTGTTGGTGCGTGTGGCTACGGCTATGGGTGTGGCGGCAAATCCAACTATGGTCGAAAGCAAAAATGTGGAAAAGAAAACTGTCAAAAGTACAGGCGCCACTTACTACATCATCCACATGTTTTGCGGTGCCTCTATTTTCGACATCTTTGCATTCCCCAAAGTAGGGTGTAACCCACACCCACACTCTACTTTCCTCCAGGAATCGAGGAATTCCATTTTTTCGAATTGAATCTACGATAAATGCGTAGCGCATTCGATATCTCTCATCGGCATATTACAGTGAGCAAACTTGTTCAGAAAGAAAAGTAAGAGAAAAGAATCAATGTAAACCATTTTTACTTATTAATCCTTAAAGATGATAGCTAAGGGTGTGTGGGTGTGAGTGTGCCTGGGAATATTATTGAAAAGACTATTCACAATCACATCCTGTATACACACTGACACCCACCCGCACAACCCAAAATAGTATATTGCAAAGGTCTTATATTGTAAATACGTTGGGTTTTAAGAAGGAGGAAATAATAACAGTTTCAAAAAGCTCAGTACCAATCCCTCTGGAAAATCTAACAGCATTCATATGTAACAAGAAACAATGCAGCGTAATCTCCAATTATCTCACAACCATGCTCATATTCAACTAGTCGCTCAAAAATGTTGTTTGAAACGAACTAAGCTTGAAAATTTATCGGAGAGTTGTATGGAAAAAAGGCAATATTCATAGTAAGTTTCTTGGTGCCCGCAATGTTTGCTTCTCTTCCCACCTTCTGTCCAGATTTGTCCAAATTTGAGCGGCTCCTCTTTCTACCTTCACTAGAACGTTCTTTATGCATGACCTCTAAAAGATTTTCTGACTCGAATTAAAATCAGGTATCTAATAAACTCACGCGCATGTAAGACGAATGTATTGTATCAGGCATTGCTACTAACGTCTAGTCAATCAGTGTTACTTTCTCCAGTATTTTATATTAGGTTGGCGGAAGAAGTGGAGAGAAAAAATGTCCGTTAAAAACGTAACTCACTTTTTGATTACCAATGGAACTTTAATTCACAGACGAATTCACCTATTCATGTGTATCAAGCAAAGTGCAAAAACAAGTTTAATGCGATTCTATTTGTTTTCACTCCACACAGCGCTTACAGAGACTGTCAAATAGTGATGTCAATAGCTTTCACAAAGAGTACAAAGCTCAGCTTATTACAAATGGGAATAGTGAGCCGATTTATTTGTGACGACAGAAACAATTTTGCCTAGTGAAAAAAGTTTATGGCAGTTGTAATATTTTTTTATACATTACCGGTTGAAAACTTCTTTCGGATTCTTCTATATATCAGAAAGTGCCCAAACCATTGTTTTTGGTAGAGCAAAATGCATTCATTCATCTAAGATTTGACTGCCTTTCTGATAACGTTTTACTCATAGGACAGTGTCCTTTTATAAGATGAAAGAGCACCACTGCAGACAAAATAACTAGAGATCGTGATCAAATCCTACTGAACGTTAAAACCAGTACACTGAATAAAGATAGATTTTGTTTCGATGTCTACCGTGTTTGTTTTCATTGTTCTTGAAAACTTATATGTAGAGATGGAGTTCTGAGATGCAAGACTCAGCCGTCTGTCCTAGACTATCAAAATATAGACAAAATGTTGCTCTAAAAAACGGGACGTCCTGGAGCTCTGTATTTCAGTAATTCTAATTTTTATTTATATTATAAAAAATGTCACAAACGAGCCTAACTGAGTCGTATCTCACAGCATAAGCTTAGCCATACTCGGTTTGTAAAGTTGTCATAAAAACCAAAAGAACTCTTAAACAGTGTGTGGATGCATCTTATTTTATACAGTATCATTATCTCTATCATTCAACGGTCTAAATTGCATGCTTCAGTGAGTTATTTCACATTTCAATGTGTTGATATAAAGTACTCGAGAATAACACACACTGACTAGATGCATTTCTACTTATTTGAAATCCAATCCTGTCTNGTTACAAAATGCCCTATCGTTTTATCCCTGTTTAAGTAGTTCAGTAATGCATCTTTATACGTATGTGAAGTATCTTTCTGAAGAAATTCTAGTTCTCCATCATAAAAGTTATTAATAGGGAAATTCGCAGAAAAAAAATTACCAATAAACTCATGGGTTTTGTAATGGAATAGCAAGTGCAAGGGAGTAAAAACGGATTCCCAAGATCTCGAATCCCAAGAAATCATATGGCGATCCTAAGGATTCAAAGAAAATCCTGAAAATCTCGGGAGTACAAAATCTGCCTTTTCACCTTGGTCTCACGATTATTTGCTACCTTCGAAGTTTTCACTTGAAAAGTCAGTTTAATTATGAAATATTTGACGAAGAAAAGCATTGAAGTCCTGTCCTTCGTCTTATGAGACATATAGTTCATTTTGCCCTTTGACATATAGAAAAACGATCGCGTTTTTCAAGTGAATATTATTAAGTCCCCCTTCTTCAAAATATCAAATGTTACCAAAAACCTCAGCATTGAGATAAAGGCATAATCCAACGCTTTGAAGTGTCTACTTTATGGTTCTATACAGATCTCCAAATTTTTTTCCAGAAATGTGGATGTGTGGATGTGGGTGTACATGAGATTTTCTACATGTTTGCATATATTCTCAAGCATCATCATTATTCACATACACTATAATTAAAACATACAAGTCATTATTCATCTTCGGTCCAGTTATATAGGCACTAATTTATCCATAACGTTATTCATTGATCTTTTTCGTTCACTCAACTTTTTTTTCTTCTTTCTCATTTTCTCACTTCGACTATATATTACATAAGTGACCTTATTTCACTTGATAAATATTTTCATTCTTTTTCCTTTTCGCTATACGCAACATATTAAAAATGTGCAAGTCATTTAATCATCTATCTTCAGCTCTAATAGGCACTTCTCTAAGTGTGATTCTTTATTCTTTCCATCATCAATCTAACTTGTACAAAGCGTAACTGACTATCTATCTCTTACTTTATTTTCTCTTTTCCTCTAGCATTCGTCAATAATATTCTTTAAACGATTTGTTTCATTTTTAAAATATTTGGGAAAAGGCTCTATAGGCCGAAACACGTGTCAATAAGGGGAGTGGGTGTGGGTGTGGTGTAGATGGGTGCAGGTGGCGTGGGAATGGGTGTCCATGCGGGTGGCTGGGTACGGGTGTCTGTGTGGATTTATGTAATCACTTCGTCTGCGGTGAGACCCACACTCAAATATCTATACTCATACCGACATTCACAACCAACCGTATTCAGACCCGCATACTTCTCATGATTTCTCCTTCTTTTAGACTTTTGTTGTTGTTAGTCTTTCCTCGTCAATTATTCTGTGAGTGTCTTTTCGATCCTCTGTTAATGAGCGACTAAGTTCTATTAACAAGAGAGGGATCCAAACGCATCAATCTACTTGTCGTTTTTTGCAGCTAAGTCTTCCAGTGTTGCTTTTTCAGTATTCTCACATTTTCTCCTTCTCTTACCTTCTCTTTTCTTTTTTTTCCTCACTATTAGTCGTTATGGTAATGTACTAGAGATCTTATGTTCGACCTTTCTGTCCTTGAAAGGAAAAAAAAGCAAACATATATATATTAACTATGTATTCAGGGTTCAAAAAAACTAAGGACAAATAAAGAAATGACTGAGATATATCATATCAAAGAATTAGCTGACCAGAAGAAAGAGAGAGAAGGAGAGAAGGAGAAACATAGTAAGATGGATCCGCTAACAAAGTGTTTTATTTATTCTTCTGACGAGAGAGAAATAAGAGACTCAAGGATACATTATTACTACACATGTAAACAAGAAACGCATAAATAGACCCGTGTTGTTGCAGCTCAGAAGAAACTTTTTTTTGTGTCTAAACGTGTTAATCCCGTTCAAACGCAAATTAAAACTGTTTTTAACCGCGTTTGAGCGCAAAAATGTTTCATCTGAGCTGAGTGTACACGCGTTCGCTCCAGTTGACTTCAGACGCTTTTAAGCCGGAAAAATATTTATATTGGTAGCATTGAGGTTTATTTTTTTACGCTACGAAGCACGACATTCCTATCGTTCTTCACGACTATATTTTCTTTTTTTCTTTTTGACTTACTATACGTAGGTATTAAAACATACTATTTTTTCACGCGATCGTCTCAGAAGTGAAAACCACAGAATAGTCTTTCAAACAGGAGGCCTAAGTATCAAAATCGAACGCATACGTTTTATTGTGACATTATCGAGATGATATTAAGTTTCCTTCTGAATAGCATGCGAAAATGAGAACTTTTTCATGACTTCATTATTTCTTCGTTTTCAAATAGGTAAAAGGAAAATGCAAACAAAAGTTAGACGCCACTTCCTTTGCTCATATGTGAGACAGCTCTAAATACAGCTGATTATTGTTAATGAATTATATAGAAAATTAGGCGATCAATAGAAAGCATTTTTTATCAGAATATTAATATGCGTCGATTAATTTCTCGTAGTGTGGAGTTTTATAAGGGCTACATTTCACGCTGATCCTAAATATGATCAGTCGATTGATGTAAACATAACTTTTCTCGATTTACAAAAACAACAGTTGTTTTGTTCCACTAACGTTTACCATGATTATAAAAAGAATCGACGTACAATAGAGCCTTAGAACAATTATTCGTTTGTTAGCAGAAGTCATTTCTGTCCGTGAGTCAATATTCGTGTGTCGCAACATATTTCTTATTCCAGTCGACCTATAACACCATCTAGTTTTTGATGGATCTGCCAGTGCTCATATAGGAAAATTCTTACGATTTCTTTCTCTCTGACACTCTCTGTCTCTTTGGTTTTTATTAATGTAGTTGTTGTATGAGCGTCTTGTTCGTTTTATAATGGGAATTAAAGAAAATATATAATTAAAAGGTAATATCAAACATACCAATGTGTTTTTCGATTCATTTGTCTCAAGGATCTTCCAATATTGTCAATGAAGAATTACTATGGTTTCTTTTTTTCTTTAATTATTTTTCTTTTTCTTTTTACAAGTTGTTGTTGCGTGAGTGCCTTTTTCTTACTCTTGTAAAGATCGAAGAAACCGCAAACAATCTAATCCCGGAATGCCGTGACAAGCTGCGCTTGAAATCGTTTCGTTCAAGGATTTTTCATTATTGTGTTAGCATTCTAACGATTTACCTAGTGTGCTGAGATGAAGTCTCTCGGTCTCTCTTAGTCTCGGCCTCAATATTGATGAGTTTCGGTCTCGATTATACCTAATTTCGATCTCGTTATTTATCATAGACAAGCCTGATATTCATTCTCAGTCAAAGTTATTACTTTTGTAGTTTTTCAATCGAGACTGACATTCCCCGGTTGTTAAGCATTTTTCTTCCTTTTCATCCTGGTAGCTGTTCTTTTGGAGAGGGTGTCAGTTGGAGTTGGCGGTACCTTAAACCAACACCGGTACTGACCCCTTCCCCCTTCCTGCCTCCCTTAAAGACCACAGAAACCAGACATAGATAATGGATATGTATAACAGTCTTATTTGTAGTGAAGGAGCCTAGGATAGCTAGGGGAGTTTAGCTCTCCGCCACTGGAAAAAATTTTGCAGCATGTATTTTATTCACCAAGGAGGCTTGAAGGCCACTAAGAGAAGGCTAAGCCTCCTCTACTAGCCATCTTCAGCCCAAAATTCTGGATTCGTCACTGCTTATTTATCCTTTAATGCGATGTTTATAATAATAAAAATATTAAACAAAGAAAAAGGAAAAATAATGAATGCATAGAAACAATAAAAATGAAAAATGAGGATGTCCATTAGAAACAAACAATGAAAAATTCTTCATTTTAATACTTTCTATATTTCGTATTAGTATAATGAAGCTGGAAAACATATGAAAGTTCCAGATTTCAGCCCCCAACGCGCTACGCTAATAAGCTGTTTTCTATCAGTCAATTCTTCATCTTTAAAATGGAATACAAACAACACAGGTCAGTTGTATGTATTATATAAGAAATAGACACACTATGTTGAATAATACAAAAATAATGATAAATCAATGAGTTTGCTAATTTCATATCCTTTTTTCAAATTTTTATTGAACTAATTTTTCTTCAACAGTTTTAATGAAGAGCTGTTCTTCTTCTTCTTTTTTCTTTCTTACAATATTCTCATGATCATATTCCAATCTTCATGAACTATTTATAAGAAAGATACGACAACTATTTATACACTTTTTTTTTTGTTTTTTTTAATACGCCTAATCTTTTTTACTAATAAATTAAAAAGAATTTGAACAAGAATAATTTTGATGTTTCTAAACAAATGCTTGATATTTGTATTTATGTCTAATGCTGGTGATGATTGATTGAGCATTTGATGCCTTTATAATAGATATATAAATTAATGATCAGTAGTTTTCTTTTATTTTAAGAATTTATTTGTACTTTGTCGATTTCGAATGATGGAAAGTAACGATATAGCTGACAATTTATTTAAACAAATTGATACAAATCGAGATGAAAGGTATGAATTAAGAATTTGAATCAAATAATAAATACATATACGCATATTTAGTATTGATAAAAATGAATTTCGTAATTGGGTTTCAAATACTGAACGATCGACTTCTTCACCTTATGAATTAATAACTACTGCAATTAGTCGTTGTAATGATACTATTAGTCGATTTGATCGATATAATTATAACGATCGTTATCAAGATGATTTGGGATATTCACCTGATAAATATACTTCATATGGAAGTAAGAGATGGATTGACGATACGGTGATCAATACAAATAGTTCAGAAGAAACCAATTATTATCTGGCAAAATTAGATATGAATACTTATAAGGATGCTAATCCAAAAATTATTCGACGAGCAAGAAGTGAAAGTCCAGTAACACTAGAACAAGGAATTCTTGTTCGATACCTTCAACCACCACCTCTTCCACCACCAGGAGTAATGAAATAAATTGTTTACAAATTCAATCTTACTAATATTTTTATGACTTTAGCCACTCATTATTAAAGAAGTGCGTCCACGACAACCATCGCCGCCTCCACCACTTGTCATACACGAATATGCGCCACCTCCTCCTTCGCCACCTCCACTTATCTTACGTGAACGGCCACCAACACCACCGAAACATATTCCTAGTGAAACAAGTTAGAAAAAAAAAGAAATTTATATTACATAGATTAGATTAATCAATGTATTTTATTTTACAGTTACTCGTACTTTACCTCCTTTGCCTATTCCACCACGATCAGTTATCATCGAACGTTTTCCACCTCCTCCAGAAAAACCACGTAATATATTACATTCATTTTTCTTTTTTGTTTTCTTTTTATTCCAGATTGTTGTTTTTTTTGCTATTGAGGCGATATTATAATTGAACGATGGATTCCCTACGAACCTCAACCTGAACGCCGTACAATTGTTGAACACGCTCCTCCTGCTATACAATATCCACAACCATCTAATACTATTATTATTCATTCTGTTGCTGAAACTCGTATAGTTCGGAAATATCAACAACTTGGTGTTACCCAAGAAGATCCTCAAGCTTATAGAGCTCGTTATGGGTCATCACTTTTAGATCCCGAAACGCTTGTTCGACAAGCTCGCAAAGTTGGTGTTATTGAAGATACAGTAAGCTTTTTTCAAAAACCAAATACCTTCAGAGAAAAAACTATACAAACCTTTTATTGTAGTCGCCTCGGGTACTATCGTCTTCAATATTCACAACTACACGTCGAAATGCTGTTCATTTTGATCAATCGAATTAAATAATCAGTAAAGATTATTCATCATCAGTTGTAACTAGTAGTGGAAAATATCAATAACACATTTAAAACACTACTTGACTGAAATTCTTTCTTTTTCTATTTAAATACAGTAGTTTTTTTCTTGTAGTTTTTACAACAGAACATATCAACTATATAATCACAGGCAGAGAACTAAAAATAAAATAAAGATTAATCATACACCACTGATATCACTATCAGCTGAATCACTTCTTCTTGTATACAATGGGGGGTATTATTTTTAAACGAGCTGTTTGCATTTTATCATACCATAAACTGGTATAATATACGAATTTATTATTCAACAAGGTGAATATTTTTATGAGTACAGTCATTTTTGGATATGTTATTTGATGATTTATTATCATAAATAAACGATATGTTTTATCTATGCTATTGAATATAAATGTTTGTGTTTCTGATATAAACATCATTTCATGAAGTTAATAAAGATTTATCAAAAAAACTTCAACTTGGTCTAATTTTCCATCATATACATGTAATTGATAGTCTTCTTTTAATTCAATCCAAACAAGTGACTTTGAAGAAACAAGACGATCATTATCAAATACAATGGTTCAATTTGGATCATATGTTCCTTTTAGAGATGATATTAGACTTCTTTCAATACTAGTAAATTTCTCTAAAATTGATAAAAGAATGTACACTTGAGCTTTATGATAACAACATTCAAGAATTTATTTTTTCGCTCAAAAATATAACTCACATATATAACGACCAATGATCAGCAATGATAATGTCGAGGAGAAATCAGTTTTGAACTAAAAAGAATCATGACAAATGTGACAACCTGTTACATCGATAGTATTGATCCATATAGGAACCTGAGTGCCTAGTTGTTATTCATCAGAACGATGACATAGATTAACGAACTGAAATAGAATAGAATGATATAAGTCTTGTGTTTTGTTTTTTGATAAGAAAATAATTTGACCCAAATCATGAAATGCTCAACATTTATATATGAAGTCTTTCAAGCAAAATAAGAGATAGTCCACCCAGACTTCTTAAATAAGGAAGATGGAGAGTGCTTCTTTCATTCTCTTCATAACATTAGACTTTCAGGCAACGTTGTACAACTTCGCAGTCATTCTCGAAAAAAAAATTAGACTTTAGAATACCATTCGTCTTTTTTTGGCACAGAGTGCAATTTAAAAAAAGCACACTTTACAATTTTGATTTAAATATGATTGGGGAATGTGTCTCAAAGAAGAGACGAGCTAATTCTAGGTCGTCTGTTTTGGAATGACCAGATCGTTGTGACTCCCTAAAAAAAATCGATAATCTTATACCTACCTTTCATTTGAATTGAATTTCATGCAGTGGTTATTATGTGAATAACTTGTTTTAACATTCACATATGCGCAATCGTTGACTATACCGGTTAACCGCTAATTAAAACTTAATTTGCGAATACAGGATGCAAAATAAGTTTTGACCCATTCTTGCAGTACTTCTTTCTCTCATATTTCTAGATCGACCGAGACTGATATTTGTGGTACGCGTACTAAACCTCTACATCTGCTTTATACCAGAAATTCAGTCTTTTGTCTGCTATTATCGCAGAGATTTAAGCAACACGAAAATGATCAAGATTTCTAAGTTGCTTTGAAATATTTATCAACCAGAAAATTTATAGCCATGCGATCATGCATGCAATAGAGTAACATCTGTTTTTCTGTATATAACTCTTGTGTTTTGTCATTTATGACCATATTTATGAATAGAAGAGAAATTTGCTATATGTTTGGGTTTGACTGTGGACGTGGACGTGTGGGTCTAGATGGTGTGAGTTTCTTCACCATTCGTAGAATCCGCACCCACACCGATTCCCTTATAGTGCTGTAACAGCAGAGAAAATTAGTAAAAGAAAAAGAAAACAGGCATATAATAGTCAAAATGATGACTATTATGTGCGGAAGCAGTACAGTAACAACGATGAAGATGATCATCTCCTGGATTACGACGATCGAGACTTCAGCAATAATGAAACTGACAGTGATCTTGTTCTGGATGCTAATTGTATTGAATTGGCACTGTGCAATTTGTCATCATAGTCATCGCCAGGGCGCAATCATCCCAATGTGTACTAAAACTGTCTGCCTCCCTACGCTAGTTAGCTACTTACGACGATTATTCGATGTAAACAATCATGCTGCTATATGAAATGAGTGAGTTCGGCAGTGCCATCAACTGTTGACAGCATTTCGAGCTTTTACTTCTATGTTCTTTAGGTGAATTGGAATTCAGTTTTGCAAGAACAAGGCGAACGAACGATCAAACAAGAAATAATTGTACGATGGCTTAGTATGTCACAACCACTGGGAGTATTCTTTTTTCGTACTCTGTATTAAATACCATTGCGAGCGAGAGCGGTACTCTTCATACTTTATCATCGATCGATGGTTCAATCGTGGCCAGTATTGATGGCTTGCTCGAATCATGGAAAGAGGTGATGCAGTATGCGCAAACGACCAGAGTACCATATCTTGACTTCGTCATAACATCGTGTTGATGTCTTCTCGAAATTTCATCGGCGACAAAAGAGGAAGCAAATGACAAGTCAGCGAAAGGTAAAAGTCTTGTTTATCATAAAGGTATCAAGCATTGATAATGTCAATTTTGTTGTTGGCGTAGTTTTCTTCAAGAACCGTGCCCGACAATTCTTAAAAAGCCTGTTTACATTGCATGATTTGCAATGGATTGTTGAAACACTTAACATTCGGACACCAATGCCTAAACTAGCCACAGAAATCGAGCATGTTCATGCTCATGATCTCGTACTCTCGGAAGTGACAAAAATCATGGAAAAGGAGCAGAAAGCGAATAGTCGATCAACCGGGTTTGTACCACTTTTTGTTCATATATCACCTCCAAAGATGAAATTCAGGTCCTACTGAGCACAGTTTGACGATGACCTCGATGAGTATCATAGTTAGAACCAGAAGGTAACGGTTTTCGTGCGGTCTCATTGTGAGATACAATCTTATGTATAGCTCAAGCTGTCTGATCAGTTTCTACTTGAAGAAAGTTACAACAATCCGCTACTTTTCTGAACGGAACATATTCTATTATTGCTTAACTTGCAAAATTGGATACAAATGTATTCTGGCATCGTCTGCTGTAATCGAGCCTACATTCAAGTGGACCAGTGTCGTCATTGCCCAACGGCTAACAAATATCAATTCATCTAATGTCAATGAAAACATTGTCATTCGATCAGTCACCACTCGTTGAATGAGTAGTATGCGAACTTTATGTTACTTACTTGTTTATTAAAAGAAAATTTTTGCGCATGTTTCAAGCAAGTGTATCATTCCAAAAGATGATATACAAAATTATACAGAGGTTCATACGGATCCACGGTGGTGGGGCGGGGCAGCAAAATATCGCGCCTCGCGCAGTTCTGATTGAAATCACTTGAAAGACAACTCACACACCTGGTGATCGATAATAAATGACGGCACTTTGCATTTCATATTTTCATATCTAAATCAGTATCATCAGAAAAAAAAATATGCCACTAGATGCAGCGAGAAAAGTTCTACAATTTATACACTAGAGCTAATTGTAATTGTTTTCACAAAAAGAAAAATTCGCTCCAATTAACTTTCGGATAGTCGAAATTTGATCGCTCCAAATTTGCCGATTTTGAAATCAAAAAGTCAAACTGTAGGAAAAGTAGTCCTCTGTAAATTGTGGAGCTTTTCACGCTGCATCTTGTAGTATATTTGGTTTTTTGATGATACTTATTTAGAGATGAAAATATGTAATGCAAAGTGCGGCCATTCATTATTGGTCACCCAGTACATATCTGTACAAACAACCATAGCTCAAAAGACGAAATCTCTCAGATATGTAACGCCACAAATACACAACTAACGCAAGCTGCCAACTCGACACAAACTTCAATCAGTGGCGACATCATACATCCTACTTTCACAAGAGCACAGTACCACTCATTAACGACTATCAAGCCTCTGTAAAATCACACAATCACATAAAACAAGAGCAAAGCCAATCTTCGAAACTTAACTCCAACCTTCATTCAAAAGCGCAATTACAAATCATCCAACCCAAAGTGAACAATCACAAAACAAGTAAGATCGAAACGCATCGTGGTTGCTAACCCGTCTATTTTTCTGGATTCGTCTGGACGATAGATACTTGATACACATCCTCAGGTAGGCAGATAATTGTGATCGCCGGTGACCTTCAGGGCAACCTCGTCAGTACTGGTGTGCACATAGGCGTCACAATCAATTGCTTTACACATCCAATACTTTTTTGTTTTAGTTTCTTTGTTTTTGTTGAAGGCAATATCATTCAACACTAATAAAGATTTACCTTTATTTGAGACAAGAAAATATGGATTGCTATATGTGATTGACATAAAATAAATGACTACTAAATCTTTAAGAAAATCGATTAATGTATTGATAGTGAAAAGTTAAATCTTTGGACGCCTCTTTTGAGGATTGATGATTCTCTGTCTATCTCTTCTAATAATCATATCATATAATGAACAATTGTCAAGATTATTTTAAGGTAGCGCTATACACTAATACAATACAACATAATTGTAAACCAGCTATCTATACGTCATTTTCAAAATTTCCACATTTTCATACGTTCGAAATTTTTGCTTTCGGCGACCGGTCTTTTCATCGTCATGGATTAGGTTGCAGACATTTCCTGACAGCGGTATTTCACCGCGCAGGCATTTTATCGTAACAACTCGTCCCAGTCAACCAACTGCATCAAAATTGAAGAATTATTTGATCGTACACAACTAAGAATTTACTCCCACCTCGAAGCACCAATAAGAATGCAGAGGTGCCTGTAGGCATCAACAGGCAATGGTAGGCACCAATACCAATCCACTGGCATCTGTAGGCACCAATGGGAAGTCAAATGCCCCTGCAGAGATAATTGGGGACTCAGAGACATCTGTAGACACCAATG